ATGCTGCAGATCATTCTTGATCCTCCCCCTAATAACAAAACCTACTAGATTTGTGTCTTATTCTCCCAAAGCCTTCCAAATTGGTTCCCATGGAACCAATTAACTTTGTAGTTTAACATAAATCATAAAATCTTAGGACTAGAAGGAAGCTCTGAGATCATGTGACTTTCCCTCTTATTCTACAGATGAAGATACCAAGACTCAAAGAGACTCAATAATTTGCACAAGGTCATGTAGCTAGTTGGTGACAGGGTTAAGGCTAGATTTGCACTTTCTGACTCCCAATCCATTCCTCTTTCCACAATACCATAATGCCTTCTGGGAGCAGGGAGAAGAAAAGAAGAAAATTTCTAACATGAGGAATGTCAGGAACTATGGCAGGTCAATGCAGAGAGACTACAAGGCAGAAATACCTAAGATCTTGACACAGTGTCTTTTCACATGTACCATATAGGCAATATGTATGAGTCTGACCTGACTCTATCTACAAGCCAAGTTTAAGCCAGAGCTCTAGCTATATAGAATGTGAAGATTTCTTGATTTTTAATTTTAAACCCAAGGCAAGTTGGCTCAGACCAGCCAACCAACTGCCCTTGTGGGGAAGAAACCTCACTTTTTATATTCTTTGCATGTTTAGGGTTCATCTCTCTAAAAATAATAAGTTAAAAATAGAGAGTCTGCCTTAGGTGATTGTGGCCCTTAATGGTAATTACCAGGATTATGGTCCTAGTAGATAATACCAGGACCATTCTGATCAATGAACATTCCCTTCTCCCTTAAAGACCACCTTTTTCTGTCATTTACTTCTCTCTTTTAACTTCACAATTGAAAAGGGAACTTTTCAGGTAGTAGATAAGGTAGGACTCAATCACCAGTCCATATATAGGCCCATTTTTCACCCTTCTTCTTTGAAGTAGAGGGCATTTTTATACTGATTCTTTGTTCTCCACCACCACCACACACAAAAAAATCATAAAATGAGTTTACCTTTAAGAAATGACTTCTAAATAAAATCAGAGAGGGCCCAGGAAAGAATAACATAAATGCAAGACCAGGTTTGCTTGTTTCTACATAATACCTTTTGTTAAACTTGGGGACTATGGATTGTAACTATACTCTCTGCCTGGTGGCTCAGGGGGAGCCTAAGAATTGCATGGGATTATGTGGAAAAGGACCTGGAAGTCCACACCTTTCATTTAGAGATAAGGAAACTGAGGCTCAGAGAGGCAGAGTAGACACCTAGGTATAAGTAACAGAGTCAGGGTTAGGACCCAGGTCTTCTGATTCCAAATTCAGTGTTTCTTCCACCATATTATGTTTGCCATTAGGTAGCTATTTCTAAGATGTGCTTCCTTTGCTAATAGAATCCACTTGCAAAGAAAAGCAGTGGTTTTAGGGAAATTTTATTACTATATATTTACATTTCATTAAAATGTAAGCTCCTTGAGGGCAGGGGTTATTTCATTTTTGTCAGTGTATCCTTGGTATTTAATAAATTCTTGTTGATTGATATTTTAAACTGGATATTCCATGGGCTTCTCAAACTCAGCATGTCCAAAACAGAACTCATTATCTCCTCCCCCAAAAGCCTGTTCTTCTAAACTTCCCTGTTTCTATCAAGAGTACTACCATCTTTCTAGCCACCTAGGTTCAAAATCTTGGCATTATCTTTGACTATCACTCTTATTCACTCCATGTATCCATTGTTGTTTAGTTGTTTTCAGTTTTGTCTGATTCTGCATGACCCCTTTTGAGATTTTCTTGGCAAAGATGTTGAAGTGGTTGGCCATTTCCTTCACCAGCTCACTTTGCAGATGAAGAAACTAAGGCAAACTGGATTAAGTGACTTGCCCAGGGTCACACAGCCAGTAAGTGTGTGAGGCCAAATTTGAGCTCAGGTCTTCCAAAATTGAACCCTGACTCCAGGCCCAGTGCTCTATCCACATATACAATCACTTGTCAAATTTTGGCATTTTTTTACCTCCATAGCTGTTCCGTGTCTCCTTCTGTCTACTTACATAACCCATATAGTCCTCTATCCTCTGATAGAGCCATATCTCCTTCCCTCAGGTATAATAATGATGAATCACCCATATAAATAACCCACCCAGTCATAAAAAATAAAGGAAAAGCATTAGAGGTAGTTAGAACGTTAATATCCCCTCTCCCCCAGTGAAACTTATCTCCTCCAGGACCTATGTAATCACTCCCTAGACTTTAACACTGTACCCATGGTGGAAAGACCTGGAGGTTGCTAGAGGGCCAGCCCTCTTCTTCTGGACCTGCGCAATCTACATAACTCACAGCATTAGTTAAGTCCAAAGGCATGAATCCCTTACATTGTAACCTTAGCCCTTGATGTTCTGCTGGTCTGGCTCCTGCTTGGTCCTAGGATTACTCCAACTGGCCCAGAACCTCAGAATTGTTCAAGGATTCCTCCTCTTCTCTCATGGAAATTTAGTCGAAGATCTTAATGTTGTCTCATATCATTAATTTATACTTACACAATGAAAATATTTCTGTGTTTTATTTCCTCTTTTTATGACAATTGTCCCTTGTGACCTTGGGATGAGCCATGTTGAAACATCAGGCATAAAATGTTGATGGTTTATAACAGTCAATATATATTTATTAAGCATCTACTATGTGTCAGGCATTATGCAAAGTGCTGGGAATACAAAGAAAGTTAAAAGACAGTCCTTGCCCTTGAGGAGCTCATAGTCCAATGGAGAGACAACGTACCAATATTTATGTACAAACAAGCTATATACAGGATAAATTGGGAATAATTAACAAAGGGAAGGCACTAGAATTAAAAGTAATTAAGGCTAGAGGGGTAGCTGGTAGGATTTTAGCTGGGACTTGAAGGAAGCTAAGGAAGCCAGGAGGCAGAGATGAGGAGGGAAAGTACTTTAAGTATGGGGAACGGCCAGTGAAAATGCCCATAGTGAGGAGATGGAGAGTCTTGTGGGAGGAATAGAAAGGGGGCCAGTATCATTGGATCACAAAGTACATAGTGGTGGGGGAGGGGTGGGAGAGGGATGGCCAGAGCAAGTTATGAAAGGCATTGATCATCAAGGAGAGCATTTTATTTTAAAAGGACTTTTGCAAGTCACAAGTTACCATTTACACTCCAGAAAATATTCATTTTTATTCATTTGTTGTTCAGTCGTTTTTCAGTAGTGTCCAACTCTTTGTGACCTCATTTGGAGTTTTTTTGGCAAAAACACCAAAGTGCTTTGCCACATCCTTCTCCAGTTTATTTTACAGATGAGGAAACTGAGGCAAACAGGGTAAAATGACTTGCTCAGGGTCATACAGCTAGTAAATGTCTCAGGCTAGATTTGAACTCACAAAAATGATCTTCCAAGCCTAGCACTGTATCTACTGTGCTACTAAACTGCCCCAATTTCATTCAGTACACTTTCATAATTTATTCTTTAGAAAGCACATGGCAAAGAATAGGTAGATTCTTCATGCCATGTGTTAACCTGAAGGCTGCTGAGTATGAATCAATCTCTTACTTGATGTAAATATGTGTGAGCTGTAACTCCAGGTACACTGAGGTTATCATGTGTTATCTTCCCCCAAATCACAGCTACTATCTATGATAGATAAAAAGCATCCTTTGCAAAAAGTACAACTCTCAAGCTTAATGAATAAAGAATGCTCATTTAATTTGTTGGAATGAAATACTACCAGTTACCATGTTGAAATTTGATCGTGGTATCTCCACTGAATTATAGTGTCTTCTGATGGTTACTATTAAGTATCAGAATCTCTTCTGAAAGGTGTCTGCCTTGATAATATTACCTGTTGGTAGAGTAGGATAATATAAGAAATGATCCTCCAACTCTGTGCCATCATCCCCAGGAATTTTTTTTAGTCCTGGTCATATGACCATCATGCATTGAATGAGGAATCAGAAGAAACTGGCCCCAGGTTCTCATCTAGCTTACTAATTGTGAGATGTTGGAAAAATCATTTGATCTCTAATGACCCTTAGTTTCATCATCTGGAAAAATGAGGGAGCTAGATTAGCTAATTCCCAGGTCCTGTCTCCCTCCAACATTCTAGAATTGAGTCAGACTCAGACACATGATCGTGGGACCAGAAAGGCCATTTTGGAAAAGATAGAAGATAATAATCCCCATCTTGGCTTACTACTAAAAGTCAAAACTTCTTATTACTAAAATCACAACATGAAGATGGCGGAATTAAAGCAGTGACTTCCTTGAGCTCTCCCCCCAACCCCCTCCAAATACCTGTTAAAAATGGCTCTAAACTAAAATCACAACATTCAGACCAAAACTCCTGGACTCTTAGCAATGAACCACAAACTAGAAATTTAGCACTCCAGTCATAATCATCAGATTTTCCTAAAGTGATCCAAATCTACAAAGGGAAGCCCTAAAAGCTGGTTGTAATGTTAAATATAGGCTAGAGAAATGAAACCGTAGTTCACTGAAGCATACCTTCAAGTCAAACATTCAGAATATGTTGGACAACATTGATTGTTTGGCTAGCTGCTGTATTTTCCAGAAAAATGGAATCACATCCCTCCCTGTCTTTGCTTGTCTCCTGAGCCTGGTATACCAGAATTGTAGATCACAGTAAAAGATTTGAACAAAACCTAGTAGGCTTGGCTTAAAAAAGAAAGAAAAGAAGTCTCTTGTGTTCTATAAGTATCCTGCTTTCTGTCACAGTTCCATGAGCCTTTATGGAAGTGCAGCTCTTCTAGAAAATTTTTCAGTAAAACTTACAGATGTCATTCCATCTTTTTTTTTTTTTTTAAAGTTTTTGGTTTTGTCTGTTTTTGTTTTAACCATAGCATTTGTGCTGGATCAGGCTGCTAGAAAGAGCCGACCCATTTGGAGACTTTGCCAGTATCTATTTAAAAGTGCTAATAGAGAAAGGGAGAGAGTACAAAGAGCTGGAAATAGCATGTGACAATTATTTAATGTTCCCCCTCCCCCCTTTTTTTCCCCTCTTGCACTCAGCTCAACGAATCCGCCAAACAGCTTATTGAGATGGACAAGACATGCTTAGCTGCTGCATCTGGCTGCGATGTCTCCCTGCCATCTGACACCAACATGGCAGGCAATCTGGCCCAGTGTTCTACCTTAAGCAGCTCGGGAGCAGTCAGTGCCATTCAGCGGCGTATTGATGGCAAGAAGAATGCCAAGAAACGCCACTCCTTCACTGCCCTCAGTATGACGCACAAATCCTCCCAGGCTATGAGCAATAGGCATTCCATGGAAATTAGTGCTCCTGTTTTGATCAGCTCTAGTGATCCCCGGGCTGCTACCAGAATTGGAGAGTTGACTCACCTTTCATCCAGTGCTCCAGCCCAGGTAACAACACGAGATCATGGTAATACTGAGCTGGGGTAGTGATAGGGTCAGATCAATGGCTCCCCTCATTGGGGCTATGAAGAGGTGCTGAGGGGACACAGGTATTGCTGAACATGTTTTTATGCATGCCTTCACTGTGGGGGCTTACTCCTCTTCTTCATTCCCAGCCATCCACACTGCTGAAGAGTGATAAAGATAGGCTATAATAAAGTGGTAGAGGATAAATTGATGAAATCTGACCTCCATAAGCATGGCTTCTGGTAGAATAGGATGAATTTCCAGAGGAAATTGGGCTGGCATGATATAGCCTAATGTAAAGAACAGTTTTCTTTATTCTAGTTTCCAGGTTTTTAGATGCTTTGTAGGTTTTGAGTATGATTCTGTTGGTTCTGAGCCTATCACAAACTCTTCTGTATATCTCATTCTAAGGCAAATGGCCCCCTTGTACCTCTATAATTTGTTTCAGGTTGAGAGGCAATAGACAGGATCCATCCCATGGTGTAGTCCTTCCTTCCTACTTCTGTTTTACTTATTATTGCAGCCAGTGGGTTCAAACACTAAGATTTTGGGTTCCAGTTACCATTTTTAAAATTGTTCTTGGTCAACGGAAATGAAAACTGTTGCCAGCATTGTTATCTCCGTGGTCCCCTTCCCTCCAATGAGATGTCTTCCTGACCCTCTGTCACACAAAGAGAATACAGGGAATTTGGAGGTTTTTCATGTCAACCTCTCCTTAGCTGTGTCATTCTAAGCTACACAGACAGTTTTTAAGAAGAAAATCTCAAGCCAAAACCATTTGAAAATGGACAATGATCAACTGACAGGGAAAGAATAGTTTTGTTTATTTCAGTTTTCTCTGCAAGAGGGAGTGAATGGGGAAGGAAAGGGAGGGAAGAAGAAGTAAAGAAAAGATGAAAAAAGGAAGGAAGGAAGGCAGGCAGGCAGGCAGAAAGATATGAGAGACACTTGTCTTTCCCCAAACCTTTATACAAAACACAAATTCTTTTTAGAGCCTGAGTAAACAATTTGGAGAGAGAGTCCCTCTCATGTCTGCCCAATTATTGGTCATATTAGAAGATGTTTACTAGATCACAGATTTAAAGCCGCAGGGGATCTTTGAGGTCTTTTAGTCCAACGTGGACATATTGCTACCTCTATGTGCTGGTTGAATTGTAAAGACCAATGAACTTTCAGGAATCCCTTTCAAACTGGAAGGAACAAACTAAATGGAATTTCTCATCTAGTTTTTCCATTATTCTCCAATGGGAACTGGGGGAAGTGAGAGGAGTTTGGGACTAAAGTAGAGAAGCTTCTGGGTCCTGTGCTTCTGCATTGCAACTCGCTCCTTCCACTTTGGCTAGTCACTTGCTTTTCTCATATTCTCTCACCTTCAGTAGCTTGCTAAATTCTGATTGTGAGTTAATGTTTCTCAAGCATCTGCAAATAGCCTGGGCTGAAAGTCACCGGAACAAATGTAAAGTGTGGTTTCCAGTTGATGGTGAAAGAGAAATCGGTGGTATTTTAACACCCTCCCCCCCAGAATGGTTTCTTTCCAGAGGACTGGTGTTAATTTCAGTTGGGCTGGCATAATATAGCCTAGTGGAAGGAACAAGAAATTTAGAATCCTAGGCATCAATCTTGGCACTGCTAGCTACCAGCAGTGTGACCTTTTCCAAGTTACCATCTCTGAGTTTGTTACTCTGTCTGGAAAGTGGGAAGAATAGTAATGGTACCACCTTTGTCACAAAGAGCGGTTATTAGGATCAAGTCAAATTATGTATGTAAAAGCATTTTTTTTTAATTCCATACGTATGGTGGGCAGCATGATACAATAGAAAAAGTCCAGGCTTTGACCTCTATAGAGCACTTGACTGAGAGTTAAATAACTGGTTCAAATCCCACCTCTGACAATTAATACCTGTGTGATCAGTGGGCCTCAGTTTCCTCATCTGTATAATGAGAGTTGGCTTCTAAAGTCCCTTCTAACTCTAGATTGATAATCCTATGAACTTGGTTCAATCTTGCTGCCCAGAGGAACTTGGGCAAGTCATTTCAACAGGAGTTATCAAACACGCCACCAGCAAACCACACGCCTACAACACTCCTGAGTGTTACCAGAACCAGAAATAAATGAAATGAAATAAAATTAAATGAAATTGGGGAGTATTTAACAAAATAAATAGAAATACAATGCAACATAGATACAACATAGATAATGTTAACTCGTGGTTTTCTGGTTAATTTGTAGTTAAATTGTAGTTAATTTGTAGTGATCTGGGTCACATTTCTATTTGAGTCTGACACTACTGATTTAAATTCTCTGGGACTGAGTTCTTCATCTATAGAGTTGAATCATATAAGATCCATATTCCAGGTTTAGAGATGCCAGCTCTAAATCTATGTTCCTGTGCAACATAAATGAAAACTATTATGATTTAATGTTTTCTCTTCCTTTTCAGTGCCGGGAAATTAGCACATTTTTGAGTCCTAAGGTTCAAGTCAAGTCAACAAGCATTTAGTAAATAAGTACCTGACTTGTGCCAGGCACTGTGCTAAGTTATGAGGATACAAAAAGAGACTCCCCCCCCAAAAAAATAGTCCCTTTTCCCAAAGAGACCACAGTCTAATGGGGGAGACATTGCAAACAACATTATACAAACAAGATGCAGAGAGCATAAATTGGAGATCATGTTAGAAGGAAGGTGAATTCAAGTGAGTTAATCACCTGCCTAGTAAGAAGAGAGCCAAGCTGAGGCTTTTAATCCCAAGGGAAAAGGCAGGGGGAGGAGAGGATGACAATTTAGAAGTGCTAAAAACATGGAAAACCTGAAATTGACCCATCTCCTACCCACAGATCCAGCCTCTGGTGAGTTTTACAGCTGAAAGCTCCAACACTTTTGACCCCTATGCTATGAAATAAACTGAGGGCAAAAGGATTTTTTCTTAGGGTTAATGTGTGTTATTCTTGAGTATTCTATAAATGAAAATGAGAGCCGTGTATTGAACATTTGTGAGCTGAAAGGCGATGTACAGATAAATAAATACAAAATATAAAATGCTGTGATTTTGAGGAGGACCTTAGTAACTGGGACAATCAGGATAGTCCTCAAGAAGGCAGCACTTCAACTGAACAATGACAAGGGTGAGGAAGGTATTCCAGGCATGTGAGATGGTCTGAGTAAAGGAAGGGAGATGGGAAATCATGATGTACAGTAGGTCAATTTGACTGGATTTAGAGTGGCTGAAGGACAGTAATGTGTGGTAAGCCTTAAAAGGGTATATGTGTGTGTGTGTGTGTGTGTGTGTGTGTGTGTTTTCAATCATTTTTCAGTTATGGCCAACTCTTTGTGATGCCATTTGGGGTTTTCTTGGCAAAGATACTGCAGTGCTTTGCCATTTCCTTTTCTAGTTCATTTGACAGATGAGGAAACTGAAGCAAACAGGGTCAAGTGACTGGCCCAGAGTCACACAGTTAGTAAGTGTCTGAGGCCAGATTTGAATTCAAGGTGAGTCTTCCTGCCTCCACGCCTGGCGCTCTATCCATTGTGCCACCGAGGGGCCTTAAAGTCAAGCAGAGGAGCTTGTATTTTATATTAGAAGTTATTGAGAACCACCTGAGCTTCATGAACAGGGAATAAGTGGTCAAGCCTGTGCTTTAGGAATATCAATTTGGCCACTGAGTTGAAGATGAATTGTGTGGGAGAAAGATTGAAGTTAAATTTGTTGTGATAAGATGAATCCATGAGAATTTCCGACTTCCACAAAACACTGAAGAGGGGGGCCACCTTAGAGTTCTTTTGCTCCCCAACCCCTTTTCACTTTTAAATTATGTTCCTTGCTTAGGACATAAATTCAAGAGCAGTCATCTTTTCATTTTTCCTTAGGGTTCTCAGCAAAGGAAGAAAGCAAAGATTTTTGCATACCTTGTCAGATATTTCCCATTATCTTATAGAAGGAAAATTAGAAATCATGTTGGGACAACCCCTGCCTCCCCTCCCTACCATGTGCATTTTGTCCAGGTATTTTCCTCAATGACATTCTCCTATGCAACCCTAATGTGTCATGCCCCTGTCTACACTGATACACTTCATCACTATCTTCCCCTTCTCCAATCTCGGTCACAGAACATTTGTTTTTCCCTAAGGAAAGTGAATGTTTTCACAGCAGTCGTGATGTTTGTTACGCATAAGAGGCAGTGTGCATAAAGGGTAGAGTGGTAGATTTGGAGTCATGAAGACTAAATTTTTGGCCTGCAGCAGACATTTAAGAGCTGTATGACCTTGAGCTAGTCATAAAACTCTGAGCCTTAGTTTCTCCGTCCAGGTATCAACTCACAGGGTTGTTGTGAAGAGAGAAGGCAAAGTGTTGTGCAAACCTTACCACACTATATAGATGTCTGCTCTCAAAGACTAAAAAAGCTAAATGCCTGAGGACCTCCCTTTCCCCACCCCAAACACCAACTTTGACCCTCTTCCTCTGTGCCAATAACTAGAGAATCACTGTTGCAGCTGTGTATGTGAAGTAAAAATCAGTTTGGTCAAGGCTATTGATTTTCATTTACATTGCTTGGGGTATGTGTGTATGTTTCTCATATAAAAGCAGTTTCCATTTCCTCCTCTTTCCCTTTTTCCCTTAATTATTCGCTTGATGTGAAAAGCAGGGTTGGGAATGTGCTGTGAGGCTCACTTGGGTGATTCTCTTGCCCATTTTTCCTCCTTTGCATTTGTGCCAGCGGTAATGCCCTCCCTTTGTGAGCCATGCCAAGGGCTTCGGAGACCATTCCGTCATGTTGTAATCCTTCCCCTTTGCCAAAATTAGTCAGCAAGGGAAAATCCAGGTCCTCTGAAGGCATGTCGTCTTTGGTGGGTGCCAAATATAAGATAACCATGGCAACCCGACCAGTTCTTGCTTCATCCGGGGCCAGTTTCTTTTTGGAAAAGGGAAAGCTTCAGACTACAGGTGCAGAATAGGGCATATACTGTCACACATGGTCAGTGCAC